CAAAACCCGAACACCCAGGTGTTTGGCAACCTTGAACACAACATGTGAAAAAAGCGTGTCGGCTGTCTGGCAGACAACCGCATCGATTTCCCTTGTCTTGAAACAATGCTCCAGGAAAGTAACGATGTTGACCAATAAACGGAGAACATACTCCCGAGGCTCATCCCGGTGGCCAGCACTACCCAATAGCAAGGAATAGTCAGTAAAAGCACGTTCACTGGCAATAACTGCCGACCAGTTAACGTCGTATTCCTCGCGCAAGCGGGTCACTTCATCGTACGACCGTGGCCCCTGATTCACCCAGTCCTCAAACGTATAAATATCAGTGGCGGGCAAACCAGTATGGACCAGATGGTCTTTTTCCGCATTAAGCCAAGGCATGAAAACCAGGCTGGCATCAGCTTGTAGGGCGCGGACTTCTCTGGCCATCTCCACATAAAAATCAAGCACCAGCTCTCGGCCCTGATTGCCAACGAAAGCAACTTTCATGACTGCGGGTGTGAAAAGAGGCGAGCCTCGGCTTCAGCCGCCATGATCATGCGCCGTGCTTGTAGTCAAGGGTGGCGAGCTCCTGCGCGATCCGTAAACCTGCGTCACCGCGGCCATATCGATGATCGGCAGGAAATCTGCCATGGCGTATCTGTGAGCGCACCTTGGCCTCTATATCAGACGCATCGTAGTCGGCAAATACGGCATTGCTTCCATGCTCGCGCCCTTGTTGGCGGTCCCCTACGATCACCACTGGAACGCCCAGGAAAGATCCTTCGCGGATGAACGACGAGGAATTGCCGACGCAGCACACCGCATTGTTGATCACCCGCGCGTAGTCTTCAGGCGAAAAATTCTTGTAGTAGTAGATGGGCTCCTGCATGTTCATTTCCCGGAAATGACGAATTCCCTTCGAAACATCGTCGCTACCCGCATCAACATTGGGCCACATCACCACTTTCTGGACGTCCCCAACAGCCTTCAAGGCTTCGAGCGTTTTGCTGACCTGTGCAAAACCCTGACCATAACTTGTAGTCACAGGGTGCTGGACCATCAATACATACGGCCTGGACCAATCGATAGGCTTGCCGACCCCGAGATACTGGCTCATGAACCCGTCGTTGATTGACAGGTCCTCATGGACCAGTACATCCATCGCCGGGCAGCCGTAGTTGTAGACATAACGGGGGTCTTCGCCCATCTCAACAACGCGGACACTGGATTCTTCGGAGGACACAAAATGTATATCGGCGAGTTTGGTAATGGCATGCCGCACGCGGTCATCAATATTGCCGCTGATCTCGCCACCCTGCAAATGAACAAGGGGAATATTGAGATAGGTGGCCGCAATCGCCGTCGCCATGGTTTCAAAGCGGTCAGCGACGGTGACGACCATGTCGGGCGCGAGATCATCAAATGCGGTGGAAAGCTCCACAATGCCCAACCCAGTGGACTTGGCCTGGGTCACCAATGTCTCGCCCTCGATCACGTAGTGAATTGACCGCACCGGCGTGAAGCCATCTTTTTTTATGATGTTGATGGCACTGCCAAAGCGCTCAAGCAGGGTGGAAGCACCCACCACCAGTTGCAACTCAAGGTCGGGATGCGCCTGAATGGCCTTCATCAGGTACTTGACGCGCCCGTAATTGGCCCGGCTGGCAACGACTACACAAATTTTCTTCATCAATATCTCGTTCTTTGTATGTCTGCCGTGAAAGGTTTCAAACCTTCATGAGGGCAGCAATTGCGGCGATTGCTGTGATGCGGAGCTGCCGGGACCCGAGACACACACCAAAACTATGCGATATCGTCCTGGGTCAGAAAATCCCACCGTTTCTTGGGTTTGCCGAGTCTGCAGCCCAAAACTTCCGCCATTTTAGCGACTGGCACCCCTCCATCCGCCGGCTTTTTGCTCTCAAGATCCTCAAAGCGCAAGGTCTCGCCAGCCAGCATGTCCCGGTTGACAGCCAGAGCCTTGCCAAACATGCGCCTGAGTTCGTGTTTGCCCTCATCGGCCGCCTTGTCGGGGCCTTGCCCCCTTGCTTTCTCCAGAAAGCGAACGCCTCTTACCAACTGGGCAAAATCGTCAACCGTCAGGGATGCCCTGGCGTCGGGCCCGAACATGCGACGGTCAAAGGTGATATGGGCTTCAATGACTGCGGCGCCCAGCGCGACCGCACCCAATGCCGCGTAGATCGTGCCCGAGTGATCAGACAGCCCCACGGGGCAGGTATATCGCTCGCGCAGGGTCGCCAGCCATGGCAAGCCGATGTCTTCTGGCGCCGTTGGATATTTTGTTGTGCACTGAAGCACGGCCACCGGTACCTGGCGTTCGTGCATAAGGGCCACGGCTGCGTCTATTTCCTCAAGCGCGCCCAAACCCGTCGACAAAATGACTTCTTTACCGGTGCGTGCGAGCCGCTCCAGCAAGAGGGGGTTTGCGAGATCGCCAGAGCCAACCTTGTAGCGAACCACACCTATGCTTTCAAGCAGGTCAACGGCAGCATTGGAAAACGGTGTCGCCAGAAACTCCACCCCTGCCGCTTCACAACGCTGCTTCAGGTCAGCCCACTGGGCAGCTGAAAGCTCCATGCGCTTCCAGTAGTCATAGCGGGTTGCATCCACCGGTGAAAACCGCACACGAAAAGGCTCCAATGCACTGCTCTCCGCCTCTGCTATGTGCACCTGGAACTTGATCGCATCGACTCCGGCGGCGGCGGCAGCGTCCACCAGCGAATGCAGTATGCCGACGCTGCCATCATGGGCTTGAGCAATCTCGGCCACCACAAAAGTTCGGCCAGCGGCTTCGTATTCAGCCAGTTTCATGTGTTGGTCTCCGTGCTATCAACAATCTGGGCAAGCTTTTTGACAATGAAATTTTCAGTGCGCGCCATGGCCGTGAAGGTCGCACCGCCGACGTGCGGCGTAACTATGACATTGCGACCTGCCGCCGCGGCGTTCCATTTTGCAAGC